TGGATACCATATGTGTCTCATCCATCTGTATCTAGAGCTGCATCAACTTGCGTCCGAGTTCTGAACCCGACCCCTTCCGACCCCTTCCCTTAACCGCAGAGCACAGGGCAAATTTTGCAGAGCACAAGCTGAACAACTTGGGACATCAACACATTAACATACACTTGTGATGCTGGTGATGCTACCAATGCTACTTGCATCATTTGCATTTATGGGATTCAGGTCACCAACCAACTCATTTATACCTTTCAGCTCCCTGGAGCACTCTTCGCCAAGCAGGTGGTCGCACCCTTGTCGAATCCATTCAGAAGTCCCGACCCAACTCCACCACGACGTCCAAGAACTGCGCAGAGTCCACGTTCTGCGGTCCTCTCCCTTCCCACCGACCTCATGAAGTCTTGGACGCTGCTGGTCGTCCCGCGCCTGCGAGGCCTGGGTGGGTCTTCACCCGGGGACTCAGCGGCGACTGGAAGGGTCGCGAAATCGCGAAGCGGAGCCCCTGAGTGGCGCGGGGCGCCTGGCGGTACTGTCCGCGAACTCTCGCGAGGCGGGTGCGGAAGCGGCGGCTGTTGATATGTGTTGATCTGGCAATCTGGATGTTTTGGGCCGGTATTGGTTCTTGATTTGCTTGGAGATCTGGGAGAAAGAGAGATCTCCAATTCACATACCTTCGACACTTGGTGCTGTCAGCGCCTCAGACCTCAGACCGCTCCGCGTGCATGCGCCACCCACCGCGCCACACCGTGCCAGGCCACGCAGGTCGTCACCGGACGTGGCTGGTGACGCTGCCGCTGGTCGTCCCCAGACGGGCTGATCCGATGAAGCGAAGATCCAATGAACGCCACGTCTGGAAGCAGGGGAAAAACGGGGCTAGGAGCAAGGACGCTACTAGGGGCTCCTGGCCTTAAACGGGGAAACTGGACTCAGGAAGCATCAAACCCAGAGCTGGTCGCCTACCCCATCGTTTTTCCTGCGGTCGACGGGCCAACTAGCACTTGGTCATATATTTGTTTAATCATGTCGGTCAACTGACGAGCGTTAGTGAAAGATTTTGCACTAGATGACCTATAGCTGACATTTAGCCTTCATTTGGTTTGTATTCCGTGACGCTTCCCCTAAAGAAGGGCATTTTCCCCCGGCACTCATGGTGGGAGGAAAAGGGATGATTGATGCATGTCGGCTCTTGAAGCCTTAGCACCCAGGAAACGACGAGTCCAGGGACAATTTCAACAAAGATTTCCACGATGGAGGTCCATCCTCATCCTTCGCTGTGAGACCCACGCATTTTCAGGGGTCTTTGACTATGGAGTTTTGGTTTGGGTGAAGATTGGCGATCACATGTAAAGAAAGGAACACCAGCCTCTGTGGGCTTGCTAGGAACAAGAAGCTATTAGGTTGGAGGCCATCGCTAGTAATTAGGTTGGAAGGCCATTGCTCTTAGGTTGGAAGGCCATCGCTACTAGGAACAAGAAGCTATTATATAGGTTTTAATGTTTCTTTGCAAGATTATATTTGTTTGTGATTTGTTGATGCAAGCTGCAAGAGGGCGTTGGATCTTAGAACAAGCAACCGGTCTTCACAGACATCAAGCTCCAACAAGGTCCCTTTCGAGGGAGAGATGTGGTCCTTCCATGGGGTAAACCATCGGATCACCCGGTCCTGGGATCCAACGTGGCTCAGCGTTTGAATCGTTTCTTGCTTGAGCCTGGAAAATCTTTGAATGGTGGATCAAGGCCCGGTCACGTGCAGAGAGCGTCATCGAAGCGGCTGCGAAAAACGTGGTTCCTGGGGCTGTGATATGCTTTGATCCACATCCGTTTCCAAGCCTGGCACACTGGGAGCCGGTGCAAGTGCGATCTCCAAGTAGGGAGTGAGTGTTTGCGCTACTTGGTCCAAGAGAGGGATGTTTGGACCAATCAATGCAGGTCCGCCTTTGCATATATTTTTGAAGAAAGTGATGGATTGAAGATCTCTCCAGTGATTCTGCTTTGACGATCATGGAGGGCAACGTGACAAACTTGCGGAAGATCGTTTGCACTGGACCTGCCTTGCTGAACATGGCTCGTCTTCAACATTCAATCCAACCCCAGGATTCTAGAGAATATTTTTGCTTGTTCGTTTGGATGGTTTCAATCCAAATCGTACGTGTTCATGGTACTTCCAGACCTCAGAATCAAGTGTGCCGGATGGCCCCTTGTTTTGCAGGAGCTCATCATCAAACAGGAAAGAACAAAGGTTTGTCTTCTGATTGGACAGGAAGAGAATATGCTTGTAAGGGTCTAGTCTAGTCTAGACGAAGCATGAGAAACTCTAGAATCGCTTTTCAATCTCCACATGATTTCCACCAACTCTGTTTACACCCTATAGCCAAGACCATGTGGCCAAGTAGCCTTGGGTAAGTAGCCTTGCGACCGACCATGTCCTGTGAGTTGCAGACGGTGCCGAATCGTTCTTCCGGAGGGGCCCAGGGGCCCAGGGGCCCGCGTCTGTCCGCGTCTTTTCCCACCCAGCGGTAGCGGACTGCGGTGGCTCGGTGGTCGGGGAAGGCTCCGGAGGGTCGATGAGGGTTTCCAAGGGGAGCTTCCGCGACCTGGCACAGGCTGCGATGGAAAAGAAGCCACTGCTGGATATGTGAAGAAGAAGAAGAAGAAGAAGAAGAAGAAGAAGAAGAAGAAGAAGA